CTCAAAAACTTACGGTGTAAATGGCACAATCCGCTGCCTGGGCTGCGGTTGGCTGGACATCCTAAATATTTTTTAATTAATTAAAAAAAATTCAAAAATTCAACAAAAAGTACCATAAATTCTTGATTTCTCGTGGTACAAATTCTGGAAAAAAACAACAAAAAAATTTTCAGAAAAAAAAACTTTATACACAGACAAGAAAAAAAAATTATGAATCTCATTGAAAAATTATAAAATGACCCGAAAAAATGCACAAAGTAGAGGGAACTACAACAATTGAATGCCCTGGAACTTTCTAAAATATGTATATGGATTTCGGACGGTTCCTAGTAGTCCCTTCTTGTTCAAAATTGGGTCTTGAGCGGAATATCGTAGAGGAGAGCCTTCGAGATCAAGCATGGCTCCGCCCATAGTTCGGAGAATGGCGTCGCCAGCGCAAGTGTCCCATTTTTTGATGGCTGTTGTGTGGAGATAGAGTTCTGAAATTAAAGGATTTTTGTAGAAAAATGCTTGTTGAAAATCTGGAAATCCATAAATTCGGAAATTCAAAATTCAAAAAAAATCAGAAACTCTAAAAATTCCAGAATTGCATGATTTTTCAAAATTTCTGACATTTCTAAAAAAATCAGAAAATTCCAAATTTCCGCGATACAGAAATTCTGGGAAATCCAAAAATTCAGAAAGTCAACAAATCAAAAATGCCGAATTGACGTAATTCAGAACTTCTGGAAAATACGAAAATTCAGAATTTTAGCAATTCGGAAGTTCTGAATATCGAAAATTCAAAAATTCAAAAATCCAGAGGTTGAGAAATTCAAAAAATTCAGAAATTCTAAATTTTCAAAAAATCGAAAATGTCCAAAATTCTCAAAAAAGTTGAAAATTCAATATTCCAGAATGTCCTTAAATTTCGAAAATTTCAAAAATTCCGAAAAATTCTAAAACTCTGAATTTCAAAATCCGAACAATTCTGAAAATCAGAATTTTGAAAATTCTAAAATTCAAAAATTCAGAATTTCATGACAGAAATTCCAAATAATTCAGAAAATCTGAAATACAGAAAGCGCAGAATATTAATTAATTTTCCGGAC